CAAATCTGGAATGACAAACAGTAGGAGGTGGTTTGGAGAAATTAAAGTGATGCCCTTAAAATTTCTCAAGTATATAAGTAAACTACACACTACATACATTTGAAATTTCCTATTGTAAGGGCACATTTATAGAACAGCAGACTTGTAGGCATATTATAGTAAAAGGTAGAGGCCTGTGGCCACAGGCTCCTGCTGCTTGTCACGTAACTAGCTTATTGCATTCACTTAGCCTTGACTGTCTAGGCCCAGATGTTCTCCCTTAAAAATGTGTGGGTCAAACTGACTGTGTCTGGCTTATGTTTTAAAAATATGCAGTAATTCCAGCTTGCTTCAAGGACTTCAAGGCCATCATGTTTGGGGAAGACTGGCCCAGTCAAGGACACTTTCAGTTCTGCCTACTCTTTTCAGACCCCTCCCTCCTAGAATGTTCCTGTACAATTCTTCCTGACAATATATGACATAATTCTTGGATTCCATGTAACCATCATGTAATAAGCTGCTATCAACTTTGTCCTTCCCACTCACAAACCATATTTAAACTGACCTTAAACCTGACTCTGGGTTGGTGATTTGAACCTCTGGGTTTCCCAGCCCGCTAGCGTAATAAAAGTTGCCTTCTAACTCCTCAGTGCAAAGAGTCTTCCATTTGGATTGATATTGGTTTTCTGCAACATTGACAGAGAGGCCTGAATCTCAGCAAGGGACTATTTACTTGAGGATCAAACTTGATTACTCTGCTTTCTCTTTTTAAGCAGTGAGTCATCAAATTACTATTTCAAAATGTCATAGTAATCTTAAAAGGAGGCCCGATCTTAACAAGCTCTGTACTTTGGTCTGCGGTTATATAGAAGCTCACTGCACTTAAGGTCGCGACCTTGCTGTGTGATGTAAACTCAATGTGCAGAATGCTGAACTAGTGTTTGACTGCTCCCTCACCCTATAATCAAAGCACCCTTAACTCCATCTTTCCATCACTGTCCTTGAACAGGAAGTATGGATTGATGGCCCTGCCTGTGGGGATTGGGGTAGAGTGCCAGTCTGACTGGCTTTGGGATCTGCTCTGGAAGGCTGGTGGGCACACTTCTGAGTGTGTCGTGGGGGTGTGGCCTTGGCACAGTGTATGGCCCTTGCCCTTCCTTTGGCTGTGTCATTCCATCTGGTCTCTGCCGCTCACGTAGCAGTACATGGCCGGGGCTGCAACAGTAGTCACTCTCCCTGCAGAGGGGCCACGGGAGGGATCCCCGTGGGTGAAGGGGACTTGGGCTGGTCCTGCCTGGAGAGCTCTGCCAGGGAGGTAGATCAGGACCTGGTTTCACCTGAGTGAGGGACGTTCCTCCTGAACGAGGGACCCTAAGTGACAGATAATGTAAAATGATGACAGAGATGCAGTGAAGAGCACACAGGATAGCCACACCCACTTCCTTCTGCCTTGTTCTTTTCTCCCATCAAACTTCCATCTGGGGTCAAAGCATTTCAGTGGGTGTTTACGGGCCCCTGGCCATCCTCAGGGTGGCTCCAGGGCTCTGGCAGTGACACGGAGGAAGAAGGACTGCGGGAGAGGGGGTGACCACAGAGAACAGCGCACCAACTGGGATCTCTGGGAAACATAGCCCATTCCATTTGCACTCTGGAGCAGTGGACTGGGGTGTGGTGTGGTTAAGGAGGACCCCACAGGCAAGGCAAGGAACTGCTAGCTCTGGATTGGTGGGGCTCCCAGCCCTGGAGCACTGGGCAGCCTGGAATAGACCGTCTTCCTCAGATGTCCCTGTGCCAGGTGTTCCCCTGGGCAGCCTGACCAGACAGGTTCTGTGAGTACTTGTGTTTTGTGTATGAGGAAGCGGAGCACAGGCAGGATCAGCAGCTTGCCCGAGGCCACACAGCATTTAAGTAAGGGGTCCAGGGTCACATCCCAGGCAGTCAGGCAACCAGGGCTCTGTCGTTACCGCCGGGCCAGGCTGTCTCTTGTGCTGGAAGGCTGTGGCACGTGGTCATCAGAAAAGTAATCAGCCATTTTGCTAATAAATATATCTAAAAACAGCAACAACAACAGCAACAACAAAACACTGCAGAATACAAGCATCCTGTGTCAGAAAGAGAATAGCAGGCAGAACCAGAAGACCTGGCATGCGTCCTGTGCCGATCCTGACTGGTTGTGTAACTTAGGGAGTCATTCAAGTGCGAGGAAGCCCAACCTCCTCATATTAACGAGCAAGCTTACGAGTCTCGGGAGTGTCAGATGCAGCACACCGGAGTGTCTCCTGCAGTCGCCAGAGCCAGCGCGATATGCAGGAAGAGTTGGTGGGGGCGTGGGGGAGACGCTGCATAGCCATAGGTTTGACTGATCTTGGAGGAAGTGTCAAGTCACGAACAAGAATAAAGTACGAGTCAGACTCTTGACAGTATTCCTCGATAGCGCTAGGGACCCGGATGTGGAGGCGTGGCCACCGTGTGCGTTAACAGCTGCTGCTCCTGGCTTGGCTTTCATATTCTGAGACCCTATCATACACATATCATACATGCTGTACTGTGGGTCATAAATCGTTGACAACCACCACTGAGGGAGTTTTGCAGTGTCCTTTTGGTTTTAATGCTGCGTGTGCTTTCTAGATGCTTAACCGCAGGTTGTTCTGAGACAGAGGTTCTCAGCAGGTGGCCTCAGTCTGGGCTTGGCGCAAAGTTGGGGCTGCTCGGAGAGCATGGCTTGTGTGCTCTTCCTCCTTGTCCTCTTCTGATGTGCTCCTGCCCCTTGCTTCCTTGGGCTGTGCTCCAGTCAGCATCGCCCCAGGAGCTTTTGCCTTAAGCTCTGATTTGGAGGCCGGGCTACATTACCCACTCTTCATTACCGTACAGAAATGCCCAGGACCTGATGCTTAAGAAGGAGGAAGGCTTCCTAAGGCTTCCTCCACGGGGGCGCTGGCCGTATCCACTGCCCAGGTCTGGCAGGAGCTCTTCGGCCACATCACATCACAGCGGGTGACAGGGGTGGCGCTGTGTACAGCAGGAAGTGACTACCCGAGAGGCAGGAAACAAGAGAGCTGAGTGGCACTGGGCTTCAGCTGCCTGAGAACTACCAAGGGGCCCAGAGAGAAGGACTTTGATCCTGTCCCTAAGACAGCATCCACCTGACCTCGGGACCTCCAGCCAGGCCATACCTCCTGCTACTTCCACCCTCAGGATAACATCCTAACACTTGGACCCCTGGGGGATAGGCTATGGCCAAACACAGCACAGGGCTAAGGCAGATGTTAAAACTCTTTCTTTCTCTTTCTCTTTTTTTTTTTTTTTTTCTGAGGGGAGGGAACTGGTTGAAATAGGTATGCATAGGAAAAATATCTAGATTGATATATGCAAAATGCTGATTCTTCTGCTTCGTGTTTTTTATATTTTCTGTTTTCAAAAGTTTGAATTGGTAAGATTATTTTAATAACTGTTTAGACAGACATATTTCTTCCTTAACTCAATAGACACTGTGTAGACATAAGCTGCAAAGTCAGAATGAGAATAAAAAGAATTGTTTCTAGTAGACATTCCATTATTCTGAACTTGGGAGTAGCTTCAGAGATTTTTGGAGTCTACTATTTTACACCCTCATCATCTCAGTTTTATTTTACTGAGGATTAAAGTGAGAGTGGATAGTGATTTTCCTGTGCTGGAACAATCATTACTAGTGATATACAGAAATGCAGTGAACATGTTGGGCATGTTCAACACTTTTTAATCATTCCGTAACTTCCCTAGGTTTAAAGACAATCACATTACTCACCATGCCCTGGAATTTTAAGAACTCTTTCAACAATGCTTCATTCAGAGGCTTACTCAAGCTGGAACCCATTCAGGGAGACTTGAAAAGTCTTTTGGCAAAAGCCAAACATGTGGGGTACACAGAGTCCTGAAGTCAGCCCCATCCCCGGGGCCGTTTATTCCCAGAAACCAAAGTCAGGTCCCCAACAAGAAAACCACCCCCATTTTGCCTGCTCTCACTACACAGAGGTCAAAGGTGGCTTTCCCCTCCCCAAAGTCAACTTGGTTGTCCTGAGGATCAGATGAGGAACCTGAGTCCCAGTGACAAACGTCCTCTGGGTGAACTCCTTTGTGACTGTTGCAATGGTTCGCTGAGTGCACACGATGTGTGTTTGAAACAGAAGAAACCAAGTAACCCAATCACTCAGCTCCTCCATTTGGTGTAGGAGAACCCACTAGAGAAGATCTGAACTATTTTTGGAAGAGACTGAGTCCTCTAAAATGTTTTCCAATGGTCTTTTACCTTCTGCTCTTCTAATTGTTTTGGCAGTGGAATGAGTGGGCTGGTGACTAACGATGTTGTTATTCAAGGGATACAGTTACATAGTCATTCCTTTATCTGTGCTCTCGCCAGGCTTAAGCAGGTAGCACTTGAAAACAAAGAACTTTGTCACAGTTATTTTATGTCCACAAGGCTAGGCCCAGAGTTGCCTTAGGGTTTCCAGCCTGAGCTATGGAACTAGACTAACTGGATTTGAAGCCAGGTTCTGCCATTGACTATCCCCTTGACCACGCAGAAGTGAGTGATTTTTGTGTCAGTGGCTTGACCTCTCTCTCTTCACTTTTTCATCTGTGAGGTAGAGATGATTGACATTCCCATCCTACAGAAAAAGTACTTAGTTTAAAAACTCTCTCGCTCCACAGATCCGCAGTGTCTGGCAACCCAGCACAACATCACAAAAAAGGGCCAGGGGGAATGGGCTTCCTTTATGCAGTGGTCTGTATTGTACCACAAGCTCTACACAGATAAGGCATGGTCTGTACCTAAAACTTAGCCTACAAATTTAACTACATCATTTTTCCCCTGATTAACAGCGAAAACACTCAAGCACCCCATGGAAACAATTTCCAAGCCAGGCGTGGTGGCACACACCTGTAATCCCAGCACTCAGGAGGCTGAGACAGGAGGATCATTGTGAGTTTGAGACCAACCTGGGCTACAAACTGAGCTCAAGTCCAGCCTGAACTGCCTAGCAAGACTCTGTCTCAAAAGACAAAGACCAAAAAAAAAAAAAGAAAAGAAAACAGTTTCCAAGGTCTCCACCTTTGTGAGGGTCCTGGGGCTGACCTGGTCCATAGGGTCAGATCTTTCAAGGGGCAGTGGGGATAGGAGGTGTGTCCTGCAGCCTTAGAGTGGTTGCTCCTGGCCTCTTAGACTGGCTGCTCTTCCTGCCCCAACAGTGGGATGAATGCTCCTGTGGGGCCCTGTGCTGTCCCTCAGCAGGGCCCAGATGGAGGCCCAGGGCACTGCACAGGCCCACAAGGTCATGGTCCCCGCCCAGCAGGGCTTTTGCCAGCTGCAACTACGGCTTCAGGGCCAAGTCAGCCCTCCCCGAGGCCGCCTGCCATTTTCCCAGAGCTCTGGCTGTCACTGTGCTGCTGCCCCCTTTCTCTTTAATTGCCATCTATTTTTAGGAGCTTTCACCCCCACACCCAAGCCTGAGCCCTCCCTAGAGACCACATTCATTTGCCAGGGTTGCCACAACAAAGTATCAGACCGGAAGGCTGGACAACAGGAACGAACTTTCCTCTCGGTTGCAGACACGGGTGTCTGCGCTCCGGCGCTGGTTTCTTCTGGGCCTCCCTCCCGACTCGCTGGAGACTGTCTTCTCCTGCATCTTCACCTGGCCCTGTTGCCAAACACTGTCACTTTCGAGGCTGTGTCTGTCAGGGTTTCAACAAGTGAAACTTAGGGGGATGCAGCTCCTCCCACAAGGCCACCATTAACTCTGCATTCTCAGGGTGGAAGGAGGTTCTTTGAAAAAGAAACAGAGGAGTGCATGTGGCTGAGGAAGCCGTGGAGAGTGTCCTTCTGAGACAACAGGTGCCCCGTGCTGACCTTACTAAGGTGGACTCTGGTGACTGTTCAAGCATTTAAAGTCACCCTGGAAAACTTGGGAGCCCACTGCAAATCAGAGGAGCCAGAGCGCCTCCGGTTGGCACTGGACGCAGGGCCCTGACCCACTTCACTTCCTGGTCAGTAGTCACCCCTGACAGGTGCAGTGCAAAATCTGCTTCCTGGAGGTCCCAGATGTCCAGGCTGCGTGTAGTACTTTGCCACAGATGCACGGTTCATTGTCATTAGCAACCAGGGCGAAGGCCACCTAAGGCTCTGTAGCTGCAGACAGCTGACTCTGACTGGCACACAGCGGGCCCCACTCCCAAGTGTCTGGAATGAGATCCACAGGCTGTTGCATTTCTCCACTGTGCTTCTTTTTAGAGATGGGCTTGCTAATCACCCTGCTCAACTGTGACACCCAAGAAAAGCTGAGCGGGTAAAGTTATATGCAGCCACCCTGTGACCTGTGTGTACATAGCAGGTCAGTAAAACTCGGGCAGAATGACAGTGACAGCTGCCTTGTGGCATTCAGAGGGAACTGAGCAGCTAGTTCTGTTTGGGAGCCTTGGGGACCCGTATATCATTACAGCCCAGCTGTGCAGAGAGAAGCCATATAACCCACACTCGGGGTGTGGATAGCCAGCCTGAGCTGCATGGGGTCCCCTCAGTGACAGCTCGAGGCCTGGCAGAGCCTTTGCTACCTGCCTTCTCCACACTGTGACCTCCTGGCCACAGCTCTACTCTCCCCTCTGCTGTCCCTTGCTGCAACAGCTGGCTTTAGCATCTGGGGCAGGACAAGATCCCAACCTTGAAGGAGACCGAGAAGAGCGACTGGACAGGGAGACGCGATGGGGGCTGGGAAGTCCAGGGCCAGTGCCAAGGACAAGGACCCCAAGAGGATGCTGCTGGTGAAGAGGAGGCAAAAATTTTCCTCCTGGGATGACACCCTGCTCTCAGGCAAGGACCCCCGATCCCTGCTGAAGCGGGGCATGCGCCATGTCAGCTTCAACTTGGTCACCAAGGGGATGACAGACATCCCTGACTTTCTGTGGGGCTTGTCAGAGGTCCAGAAACTCAATCTGTCCCACAACCAGCTGCGGGTTCTACCTCCCGAGGTGGGGAGACTGACTCGGATCGTGGTCCTGAACCTGTGCGGGAACCGGCTCAAGAGTCTGCCCCGGGAAATCAGCCGCCTGCAGAGCCTCAAGGTGTTGTTTGCCAACATGAACTGCCTGGCTGAGGTACCCGCCGAGCTCAGCCTGTGCAGAAGCCTGGAGGTGTTGAGTCTGTCTCACAACCGCCTGTCCCAGCTTCCCGCCAGCCTTGCCGACCTCTGCAGACTCCGGAAGCTGAACCTCAGCAACAACGGCTTCGTGCACATCCCCATCTGCGTGTTCTCCTTGAAGCAGCTGGATTTCCTGCACGTGGGCTCCAACCGCCTAGAGAACATCGCCGAGAGCATCCAGTGCCTAGCCAGCCTGCAGATCTTCATCGCAGAGAACAACAACATCCACTCCTTCCCCAGGTCGCTGTGCCTCGTCACGAGCCTGGAACTGCTGAATCTGAACAACAATGACATCCAGACCCTGCCAGAAGAGCTCTACCTCCTGTGCAGACTGGGGAGGATTGCGTGGAATCCCATGGACAAAGGGCTCCACATTTCCCATAACCCCCTCTCCAAGCCCCTGCCCGAGCTGGTGGAGGGTGGCCTGGAGATGCTCTTCAGCTACCTGAAGGACAAAAAGCACAACTGATGTGGACACAGAAGGTTTGGACAGGAGGTGGCTCACACGGACCTGGGGCTGGGGTTCCCTGCAGTCTAGGCTCATCCTTGCGCTCTCAGCGTGAGTCAGTGTTTTGTTTCTGTTGGCTAAGTCGTTGTTGAGGATCTGCCTGTGGGAGGCGTCTGTTTGTGGGAGGTGTCTGCTTTTAACGCTGTATGTTCTCAGTGACCCCTAGGATAGCATGTTCATCTCATTCTAATCAGATACTGAGGCAGGCTTTTTGTTTTTGTCGAGGAGAGCATTTCAGGTGGTTTTACCCTTGAATCAGAGGCAACCTACAGACCAGTGGCAACAGCAGGACAAGTTCCTGGGCCACCACTACGGAGGAACCTTGGGACCAGAGGCCAGGATGGAGCTGGGCTCCAGGTTGCCAAAGACCAAAACAGGCAGAGTTTTTTCTTGGGGTTTTGGGGGGAAACCATAGGAGTTTTTCCTTTAGAAATGTCCACAGGGCAAGGATCAGGCTGCTCATGTGTAAGCCTGGTGGTATCAGGAGTGGCATGATGGTCTTCAGATAATAAAGACAAATTGACTTCAGTGTGTAGTTTCTACCTGCTTTTCCAGTTGTATGCCTCCAGGAGCGACCTCATCGTACCTTTGCCGGAAATAACAGCCCATTGCCAAATTCCCCTTCCTGCATTTGCCCTCTTGGAGATAAGCTGATCCCTGGGCAGGAACCAGGAGGTAAGGCGTAGATAAGCCACATGCAGGAAGTGACTGTCCTTCCCAGAAAGGGCAGTCTAGAGAAGGGGAGTCTTTGTTACTTGGCTTTCACATGTGGGCATTTTAGAAAATGCGTTTAGTGACATTTGAAAGCTCTTTACACAAAAGTCTCTGTTTTGCGGAAGTCTGTTTTGCTTTTGATTTTAAGAGCACACAGCTGTTAGTTAGAGACACCAGCAAGTGGTGTGGGTGCTCTGGCGCTAGGGTCACTGGATCTCTCTGCTCTCAAGCAGCCAGAGCACAAGACATGATTGTCTCCTCAGGGTGAAAGAGCCAGAACGCAAAAGCAGCAGGAAGGAGGCACAGGACACCAGGCCGGGAACCGGGGAGGAGTAACGAATGTCCTGTTCTTTCTATCAAGCTGCCCAGGGTTTGGTGGAGGAGACAGGCCCACAAGGGTTTCTACCATGTGCAGTGAGACATGAGCCAGGCTCACAAGAGATTAGAGCAAGAACAACACACTGTAGCACAGACCAGCCTGCGCACCAAAGTCTCAGCAGGGAAAGAACAGTGAGCAAAGATCACAGTTAGATGAGTCAGCCGAACCCCTCACTTCCTGCAGCCGTCTGACTCTCACCTTCTGTCCCTGCCCCCACTTGGAGAGGGTAGCAGCAGGCGGGGTGATGCCTGGCTCATCTGAAGCATCTGACTTTAGGCAGTTGTAGCGCACAGCTGCCTTCTTATTTTTTTACAAGCTGCTCCAAGGGGGTCCAAATAGCTTGTTCATAGGAGTAAGTGATTTTTCCCAACAGACCCCAAAGTCAATTCTCCAATCCTAAAAGAAAGAAGTCAAGTCCTTCTGTGATCATCTGATCCCATAGCTCCATTTGCACATTTGTGCATGGGCTTCTCTATGAGCTCCCTGCTTACCAGTACGGCAAGAAGGCCGCTAGAGAAGTCACTTCTCAAACCCACTTCAGTGGCAACCAGAGAGCTGCTCATCCCTTCCAGGCCCACAGGGGCACGCGCCCAAATCCTCGCCCTAGTTAGCTTGTGGAGCTGAGACTATTTAAAGCTCTTGATGGAATTCTCCCTTGACGCTCGACTCAGTGGGACCTTGTGGGGTGAGGTTTCCCTAGCAGACCTGGTCAGGGCACCCACGGGGGCTCTGGCAGAAGCACGCGCAGCTGTCAGACAGACACCGCGCATGCCAGGAGCGTGCCCGCTCGCGCCTGCTGCAGCAGCGGCCCTTGTGCTCTCTCTACACTTCCACGACCTTGCTGTGGGCAGAGACTCAGGGAGGACAGCAGCTCCACAGCCTTCCTGCTGAGCGATCACTTCATTCTCTCTCCCAGCCTCTGTCTCAGCCACTCGATCCGTCAGTAACTCTACTCCAGGGAATGGAGGCAGCCACAATTTGAAGGTGACCCAAGAGCTTACTACACTTTATATAAGAGAAAAACTGGTATCAGTCTGACTGCCAGCTTCCATGGGTGTTTTTCAGAAGTAGAACAGCAAGGTTTTCTTTGTGAATACAGCACTGATGAGTCACAAAAGTGTAGTCACTGACTGTTGTGCTTTAGATATTGATTCTTTGTGAATGGTGAAGGTTACTTTTTATTGATAAAGGGAATGCTGAGCAACACACTGGTTAACCTGCTTAGTTATTCACAACACTGATGTGGAGGGAATTTGATGTAAGCTGCAATGTCTTTGCTGTCAGAATCTCCAGGCTGCTGACTGCCTGGGAAGGCTTATTGCTTATCTTTTGTACGCTGGCTGCTACCACATCCAAATGTCCTGGAGCTCCTGGAATCAGCGCTCAGTGGATGGCTCCATTGGCTGAGGAGTGTATTTAGTCAAAGAATAAGCTAATTGGGCGCCTGAGGTGGGGGGATCTAGTGATGAGATTGTGGTTTCATGTCACCCAGCCCTCAGCATGGAGGATTGTTGGTATGAGTTCAGAAATGCCTTTTGAAGCAATTGCAGCTTATAAGCACACAAGCAAAAAAAAAAAAAAAAATCCTAAGAAAAGAAGACTATGAAAAGACACATCTGTTCAAGGAATAATACTGCTAAGTGCATCACACTGCTGCATATTAGAAAGAAAAATGCAGTCATTACTGAGCTTGTTGTCTTGATATATGGTTAATAGGAGCAATATACTCCATTCCTGGGCTTCGGGTAATAGATTGCCTTTCTGTGGCAACCAAAGATAGAGTGACTTCACTGAGCATCTGCATTTCACGATGAAGTCATGCAAGCACTGGGAAAGAAACGAAAGAGGGTATGCTGCTGTTGTTTGTAGGAATGCACTAAAAGAAGCAATCTTCTTCTGGCATGGATTCTTGTTTTTTGGAAGTCCACCTCATACGCTACAAAGCACCTGTTGAATACGCATTGTGACTGCCATGCTTAGGAAACAGAAGAAGATTGAGTGATTGTGGGCTCAGTCATAGGAAACACATTCAGGGACCAGCAGTCCAAGATTCTGGGGTTGGGTGAGGCCAAAAGCTGGGCTGAGCGCTTTCTTCTGTCACATGCGTGGGCTTGGGGGGGTTCGCTAGTCTAGATGGAGTCACTGATGTTCTGTTGCAAAAGGGTTTACTTGAACATGAATTCGAGAGATTACCTAAAAATTAAACAAGCAAGAGAGCAAAAATTCAAGCTGCTAGATTAAACTGATATGGAGAGACTAAATACATACTAAATGATGCCATCAATATCTACTACATCAATGTCCAAGTGCTCTCTAATTCCTCATCCCAGGAATTATGTTCAGCACTTTATAACATATGTGTGAGAAACACAAAATCCTCAGCCTAGATTTAATGTGCAGATACGTCACAGTACCTTTGATATAACTTCTCAGTTATGATTAATCCAGGAACACCAAAACTCAACTCTTTCATATAGTTTAAGAAAATAAATTAAGATTCAGAGCACACAAGAGCTATTATAAGCAATAATGGGAACAGAGAAAAACATTCTACAAGTGTTCTTTTTAAATTACTAGTCAAGTTACATGTTGAATCCAAAACATCACTAAAGGAGAAAAGCATTTGAATGGAAAAAGAGGATAGCGCAGTAATAACCGAGGGAAGCAGAGAGGGCGCACAGTGAATTTGCAGGAGCTGAGGCCTCATTAAGCAAGTGTAACTGAGAGCGATTAGCATGAAGCTTGCTTTGCAGATTTTTTAGTAGTGTCATAGGAATCAACTTGAGAGGAGAGAGCTTGTTTCCTGCTGCTTCTCGGCTTGCTTTTTATTTTAGCACAGGACAGAAAACCAAAGGCCAACTGGAGTGGTCTCAAAGTATTTCCCGGGACGTGTGAGAGAAGCACACCTTCCCAACAGTACAGGGGCGTTGGCTCTGACCGTGGGAGCTGTGCTCTGTGGTCTCCAGTGACTTGCGCTCCCCAGAAGTCAGAGCCCCGGGCATGCCACTGCAGGGAGGTCCTTGTTCCCACTGGTATCCTGATGCCATGTCTGCCCCCTGTGCCCGTGCATGCACAAGAGAGCAGCTTCTACAGTGTGATGGGGAAAGCTTTGGACTGAGCTGAGCATGTGGACCGCTCAGCCTTTGCTGAGCATCTGTGTGCCCTGAGACCACGCAGTGCCCTGACCTGGGGACACCGGGACGGGACACACTGCTGCTCCCTGGTGTTCCCAGATCCACGGCAAAGAAGTCGAGCCTGCACTAGACACGAGACAACTGCCTTGGGTGATGGCAGACGCATGGATACACTTGGGTGCGAGTACAGAATGTCAGGGGACGGATGACTTTATTATGGTACATTGTTACCGTTGTTCTATTTTATTACTGGTTATTGTTGTTAATTCTTTACCATGCCTAACTTATAAATAAACTTTATAATAGACAAGACTGCGTAGAGACTAATAGTACATGTAGGATTCATTACTGACCACTGTTTCAGGCATCCACTGGGAGTCCTGGAAGGGACAACTACTGTATGTCAGAAAATGGAGAAAAAGCAAAGCAGGAAGAAAGAACAGAGGCATTTGCTCCAGAACATTCAGAAAAGTAGCTGAGAAGATCATGTGTGGACAGAGACCTGTAGGTAGTGAGGATTTGGCCAGGAAGATTTCTCAGGAAGAGATATCCCAGGCAGAAGAGAAATCGTGCAGAAAGGTAGCAGTGTACCTGGGGTGTCTGTGGAGGCCTAAGGAGGCCAGCATCTGAGTGGAGTGAGTGTAGGGGACAGTCACGAGCCACCCTGCTGCTGGGACAGGCTCCTGTAAGGCCTTGGGCCACTGAAGGCCTCTGGCTTTGCTCTGAGTGCGGAGTGAGGAGGAAGCCACAAGAGGTTGGAGGCAGAGAAGATGCCTCCATCCTAGGTGGCTTTCCAGAGGAGTGACTTGAACTGCTGGGCTGAGCAAAGGCTTTGGGGGCAGGAGGGGCAGCAGAGAGACTCGAGAGGGGTCTGCTGCAGTGCTCTTGGCAGCGGGTGACAGGTGAACCTGGACCATGTGCAGGGGTGGGGTAACCTCAGGGGGCAGCAGCAGGACTCCTGGGCACTGCATACGCAATGGGGCAGGACCTGAACAATGGCAGTGTGCTGGACACAGGCCCTTGGGAGGAGAAATCACCGCTGACCAAGGGGAAAGAGTCAGGAATGTGTCCTTGGTGTGCCAGGTGTGAGATGATCAACAGACTTTCAGATAGTTCTACTAAGAGGATGAATCTCAGGTCCAGGAGAGAATTCTGGATCAGGATGAGATTTAGAGGATGTATAGGAAAAGGACATAAAAAAAAATTGTGCCCATTTTGAAGGGTTTGAATAAAAATGGTGATTTTTTTCCTGTATATGATGATACTCGAAGTGCTATGCTGAGTCATTTGAAAATTTTCCG